TGTGTCACTTTCGCTGCCAATGATCAATTTCAAACCATGAAATGATCTGCTAAAATGGTTATCATTTAAAAACATGGCATGATCCACAGAAATGTAAATTAAATATCAGAAAAACACGCAATATAAACTGGTTAAGGTAACATGGTCCAATTTCCAACACAAATCTGACAAATTTGTAATTTCTCCTTATTTGTAAAGTCAAAGTTTGAAATTGACTGAGAAAAAAACTATTTCATCCTTTGCAGAAGCCCAGGAAACCTCTCACCCCTCCACTAAACACACCCCCCCCCCAAATAATGCTCACTTACAACCACTTCAATATTATAGAAAGATTTGAACACACTCATCTCCTTCGTTAAGGGGCATCACAAAAGATCGACTACATGCTCTTTTAATTTCAGTATGATCGTCAGGATACAACATGACAACCAGAAAGTAGCATTTAAATCAATAATGGTTGGATTTTTATGACAAGAATTTCAATTTCATTGTCAGTAACATATGAATACTAGGATCATGCATCAATTAGTTTTTAACCCTTTAACAAGACTTGTGGTTCTACTGACCAGAAGATAAACCAGCAAAATATCTGACTATAGACATTTGTAAGACTCGTCAACCTCTGTTGACAACACAATCCAACAAAAATCTTGAGAAAAGTAAAACATACAGAACAGAAATTAGTCTCAAATATCTAAAAAAAAAAAAAATATACATAAAAAACCACGAGAACACAGGAAATGGACAGTCCAAAAAAATAGTAACCAGGTAAATAGGTTAAAAAAATATGAGGTCAAGGTCAAATGACCACAGTACCAGTGTGGCTCATTTTGATGGTGACTTACTGCGATCAGCTGCATAAATCATTAGAAACAAAAAAGAAAGACTGAACATAGTTTGTTTAACAAATCAGCCCTGAAGACAGGTGGGCTATGTTGTATGTTGCAACTCACACCAACACAGACCATAAATTACTGCAACCACTTGACATGCACTTTGCCACAAGTTGTCACCAAATTACTTCTGAATAGGGTTAATTTGTACTGAAAAATTCCTTCACACAACGAGAATCTGGTGTGAGCGATATGCGCTTGGTTGGATGCAGTCACCACGTACTGGCTGTATACTTAAGGTCAGATGCAGTGGAAACATTATTCATTAATCTTGGAATTCAAACCACACAGCTGGTCCTAGTTTTTTTCAAGGTGACCTGCGTTTTTACAACATCTATAATACTTTTACTAAGCTGTAAGTGGAAATGTTAAATCGACAGTAATGATTGATAAGAGAATAGTCTTGAGTCATCATGAAACATTGCGCAAATAAAACACATAGATATACTGGTTTCCTTTAGTTAACCTTGTGGGACGTAACTACCTTTGTACTTCCCCCTTGCCTCAACAAGAAGATTGTACTAGCAGTTTAACGACCTGGCACACACAAAGGGCATGACCTCATCCTGAAAAGAAACAATGGAGGACGATCAGGACAAAGTCACTCATTGTTATGCAAATCCAGTCAATTAGTGTCCAATGAAAACCCCTGAATACCAACATTCCAAGCATTTAGAAATAACTGTTTGTGTCTACAAACACATAATTTAACATAATTGTTTTATGGATCTGGATCTTGTGTTATTTATCAAGCCTGAAGGTGAAAAAAAACATGGAGATGTGAGTGGGAGGAGACGGTTTATAACTGGGGACAACTCTCCCTCTCCCTATCTCTCAAATAAAACGCATACAGTATATGGTTCTATATAATTTAACAATCGTTCAAAGTCAATGTGAAATGTCATTTTCGATATGGGTCCCATGCTACAAATGCAACACATTTAAAATATTTTGATGCAAAATGCAAACATTTGCTACGTGGTGCCTTAGGACAGGCTGTAGCGATGTAATCCCTCAGTTCGCCATCTTTCATTTCAAGATAATTACAGATTACAGCTATAAATTTTCATGACTAAGTGTGTTCAGGACGAAATTTTCTGAAAGTCACTGTGACCCGTTAAAAATTCCATACTTTCCCCATTCATGTCACAAAGGAGGAAAAAACGGTTTACAGTAAATTCTTGCATTTTGAGGGAGTGGGGGGTGAGGTGATGTTTGGGGTATATCAGTTACAAAGGAGACTTCAAATGGAACTCAATCGGGTGTGAAAAAATGTGGTTAAACTGAAAAACACAATCGGTAAGAAAGTAGTTAGTGAGGTCACGGAGATCACAAATGAAATACGAGAAATGTCTCTCATAGACTCGTGATTTGAAGCTCAGGGAATACCACTACCAAAAGAAGAGCATTAAAAGCTAAACTAGTTTCCCAGATCTAAAACAAGTTAAATTGAAAATTCAAAGAATAGTCATCTGCAGAGTGTACCAAGGACAACCACTGGGTCACAAGATATGGACTTTTAAAGCATGGACGTTACTATCATACTATATTTTTTCTATTTGAAGAGATATCTCTCATTGAAGCATGCATGAACTAAAATAGTATTTATCCGATGCCTGATCATTAAAATATGATTTATTCCATAGACACACTTCTATCTTTTATTTACTTTTGCCTTCTAGTTATTCTTTATGATCGGCTGTAAGTCAAAGAAATAAATTGGAAAACCAAAACCAATTTTTGAATTATGAACCTAATTTTTGTGCATTTTGACCAATTCAAAATGGCTGCCAGAGTTGGGCTTTATACATAAGACATCAAAATTGTACTATTAATGTCACTGTTTCCACGGAAACAAGTTTGGGTACCCCTATTTTTTTGTTTGCTGTTTTTTTTTTTTATTTCTTGACACAACCTTTCATACAGAAAAACAGTTAAGTCTAAATCTCAACCAGATTTACTTACTTGATTAAAATGACAGTGGGATACAAATGATATAAATTAATTAATTGTGTAAATAACATAAACAATGATATCCACATGGTTCCATAATGTAACCCATGAGTGATTGGGTGATTGACAGCTCTCCCTGTCCTTTGACAGCTAATATATATATACCCTAATATTGACCTGATTTCTCAATCCAAAATGGCTGCCAAAATGCGCTGCTATATGTAAAAAAAAAAACTTTGACATCAGTTTTTTTTACTTATTCCATGTAAACTAGTCCTGAATTAAATTAAAAACAGATTTGTCATTAAAAATTATAATCCTCTTCATGTTTAACCAAGAATTATTAATATTGTTATAGTTGATGAAATGGGAAAGGAGATGGAAGAAGTTATGTTTGTCATAATCCTGTTTATCACAAGTGTGCTTTTTCCTTAAACTCCTGCATGATGACGTTCAGGTCGTTAATTGGCAGGAACAGATTCAAGGTCCCCAAATTGTCCATCCAGACTGATTCAGGCCAAAAATAAACTGAACCCAGTACTGTAAAATATTTAACTTTTGCTTAGATTTTTTTTTCTATTTTACCTAAAGGGATCATTCAGTGAAAATAAAATCCAGCAAATATACCCCTTTTCATATATTTTACATTCATCAAAAATTAGTGAAAATAAATTCCATACAAAACACTGATAACATTTTTTCAGCAAAAATTAATGAAATGTGACATCACATCATGTCAGGCCAACCCAGCAGATTCACTGATAACTTTAGTAGTGTGGAAACATTAATTCAATCATTTGATACAAAGATCAACGCTTTACTTGATAGAGTACTTCAACTTAAAGTGTTACAATAAATGAACCTGCAGTGTAGCTGATAATGAACTTGACATTTTGTCTAAAGACAGACATCAAGGTCGATCTTAATTACACTCTCCCAGAGAAAGTAATAGAAAAATCCGAAATGTTCAAAAAAATAAAACTATACTATTCCCTTTTCCTTTCATTTTTTTTTTTCAGAGACAACACCAGAAAAATATATTCACTGATAAAACATATACATGTACACATATAACCTTGCGCCAAATTCCATCCCTATTATAGAGCCATATAACCTTCCTGAAATGTCATTATTTATATTACACAACCTTCAACAAGAATGGCATGAGCCAAGGCTTTAGACGAAATAGGATACTGTGGTTTCATTGATATGTAGGTGTCTCTGGGGCTAATCCTATCAAATCCATGGGAGACGGAAAGTATAAACCTCTCGGCTGGCATTATTTCAGAAATTGACATGTATCCATTTGGTGGTAGTGGTACTAGTGGTGGTGAAGGTGGAGGTCTCACCATAGTTTGGTTACAGTAAACCAATCCTTGAATAACCCCCTCTTTTTTTTTTTTTTTACAGTAAGAATTTCCAAGGTTATACTAAATAAATTATGCTGATGTAAAAGATGCATTCTGGCATTTCTCATGTGTGTAAAAAGGCTGTTGTGTATTTGTAAATGGAACCAGACAAATTGTTTATATGAAATATATGAGAAATTAAACACACAGTTTATGAATTCTAAATACATAAATTGTGTGTGTTCATTTACTTTCATTGTGTTATTTAATCACTATTGTAAGGTAATTACCAAAATACCTAATGGTTTGTATGTGCAGTGGGTCGCTCTGATTCGTTTATGATTTGGAATAAAGCAAAATCATTCAGTCTTATTCATTTAAATATAGTACGAGTATGTGTACGATAATACGAGTGACTGAATGGAATTTCAACACGGATATCACAGTTATAAGACTGGATTTCTTATTGTCATTGTAATGTGTAAGAACGCCCCCCTTCGATCGCCGAGAAAACCGAACTGACACCATTTTTTTTGTCCTACGGACGTCCACAACACAGGCGCATGATTGACGGGTCTGTGGATATTACGAGCGAACTGGAGTACAGGGCACACCGACTATTCCACATCAAAAGCCAATATCCGAACGTGGAGGCCTATTTGCTTCTGCAAGCTTCCAAGATGGCTGACCGCGAGCTCAGCGAATGACATCAATAAGGGGGCCACAGTCCGGAACGAAGGGAATCGATGATTTATACCGTACGGCAATCGCCGTAAGAATTGGGTTTATCGAGAGAGGGACCTACCTGGGGAAGATTACTGCCTATCTGTTTTTGGAGCGACTCACGTTCCCTGTCAAGTTCTTGCATTCTTTCTTGGGTATCTGCTAATGTCTCTTGGGTCTCCCGCAATGATTCCATCAACTTATCCCGTTCATCGAGCATATTCACCATGAGCTGCTCAAAGTTCGTCTCACTGTCACTGCACTGCGATTCCCGCTGGCAAGCGGAGTCTTCCGAAATTGTTGGCATAACGTCACACATCATTGTCAGGTATCATACACTAGGAATAAAGCTCCTTCCGACTCGCAGCTACAATGTGATTTCGGTTTGGTTTCCGTATTTAGCACACTCACTGGCGGGGTACGGTAGACTGTGCACGGCAAATATAACCCAAAGTAGTAGATAAACACACACACTCGGAGTCCGCGGATTAGATCGGTTTTCCCGCGTTTCTTCGGTCATACCATGATTGATCTGCGCATCCGAGAAATTATAAAATATCAATATTTCCTATGAAATTCCTAATTCGGTGTCATTCCCATGGAAACAGTGTGAAATCCCGTGTTCAAAGTACAGTAAAGCGTCGCGATTCGACGATCGGAAAGGGTGCCTTCGTCTCGATTCTCCCGACATGCTTTGCGATGACCCCACCCCCACTGTGACATTCCTCGGGTCATTTGCATAATGGGACTGAATTCTGATTCTCTGTGCACCTCGCAACACTGTAAATTGGGGGACTGAAATATTGTTATATATTACTCAATCTTAAATTGTCTGTATATCGATATGTAAATGTTAAAGGAAACAAAACGTGCGATATGATATACTCTTTAAAGGTATACGATACTGATACTGTTCACCGTGTATAACGACTCGCCACAAGTCGGCGCTGTTTAGAAACATTGTCCCAGTAAGCATATTGCAGTGACCAAAACTGTAATGCCAACCAATTCGTTAGATCGATTTTGCGTTTTTATTTCCAAAAAAAAAAAAAAAAAAATACGTAACCTAATATACGGGAAAATTCGATATGCGCCTTGACAATGATGTAATTTTCTATCCGCCCTTGTCTATGTTCTTAATATTTGTCTTACTACAGAAGACTGGAAATTTCAGTCAGACCATTCTGACCCAAGTACCAAGTTATATTGAGGGTATATGTGATACTGAACGGAGATAGAAATCATGTAAATTGAGGGAAAGGAGAATGGGTCCTCATCTGCCACAAGTCTCAATGCGTTAATCAGTAGATCAGCAACTCATAATAATGTATATCAAATCTGTATCTTACTTCAGGTAATGTCAGTAACTCATCTGAGTAATCAATTAAACGTTAGTACATGTAATTAGTTAAAGTCAGTAACAAATCTGAGTAATGTAATTAAAACCACTAACTCATATGAGTAATGCAATTAAAGTCGGTAACTAATCTGAGCAATGTAATTAAAGTTAGGAACTCATCTGAGTAATGTAATTAAAGTTAGGAACTCATCTGAGTAATGTAATTAAAGTCGGTAACTAATCTGAGTAATGCAATTAAAGTCAGTAACTACTAGTAATCTGAGTAATGCAATTAACGTCAGTAACTAATCTGAGTAATGCAATTAAAGTCGGTAACTAATCTGAGTAATGCAATTAAAGTCGGTAACTAATCTGAGTAATGCAATTAAAGTTAGGAACTAATCTGAGTAATGTAATTAAAGTCAGTAACTAATCTGAGTAATGCAATTAAAGTCGGTAACTAATCTGAGTAATGTAATTAACGTCAGTAACTAATCTGAGTAATGCAATTAAAGTGAGGAACTCATCTGAGTAATGTAATTAAAGTCGGTAACTAATCAGAGTAATGCAATTAACGTCAGTAACTAATCTGAGTAATGCAATCAACGTCAGTAACTAATCTGAGTAATGCAATTAAAGTCGGTTACTAATCTGATTAATGCAATTAAAGTCGGTAACTAATCTGAGTAATGTAATTAAAGTCGGTAACTAATCTGAGTAATGTAATTAAAGTCAGTAACTAATCTGAGTAATGCAATTAAAGTTAGGAACTTATCTGAGTAATGTAATTAAAGTCGGTAACTAGTCTGAGTAATGCAATTAAAGTTAGGAACTCATCTGAGTAATGTAATTAAAGTCGGTAACTAATCTGAGTAATGCAATTAAAGTTAGGAACTCATCTGAGTAATGTAATTAAAGTCGGTTACTAATCTAAGTAATGCAATTAAAGTCGGTAACTAATCTGAGTAATGCAATTAAAGTTAGGAACTCATCTGAGTAATGTAATTAAAGTCGGTAACTAATCTGAGTAATGCAATTAAAGTTAGGAACTCATCTGAGTAATGCAATTAAAGTCGGTTACTAATCTAAGTAATGCAATTAAAGTCGGTAACTAATCTGAGTAATGCAATTAAAGTTAGGAACTCATCCGAGTAATGTAATTAAAGTCGGTAACTAGTCTGAGTAATGCAATTAAAGTTAGGAACTCATCTGAGTAATGTAATTAAAGTCGGTAACTAATCTGAGTAATGCAATTAAAGTTAGAAACTCATCTGAGTAATATAATTAAAGTCGGTAACTAATCTGAGTAATGCAATTAACGTCAGTAACTAATCTGAGTAATGCAATTAAAGTCGGTAACTAATCTGAGTAATGTAATTAAAGTCAGTAACTAATCTGAGTAATGCAATTAAAGTCGGTAACTAATCTGAGTACTGCAATTAACGTCAGTAACTAATCTGAGTAATGTAATTAAAGTCAGTAACTAATCTGAGTAATGTAATTAAAGTCAGTAACTAATCTGAGTAATGCAATTAAATTCAGTAACTAATCTGAGTAATGCAATTAAAGTCGGTAACTAATCTAAGTAATGCAACTAAAGTCAGTAACTAATCTGAGTAATGCAATTAAAGTCGGTAACTAATCTGAGTAATGCAATTAACGTCAGTAACTAATCTGAGTAATGCAATCAACGTCAGTAACTAATCTGAGTAATGCAATTAAAGTCGGTTACTAATCTGAGTAATGCAATTAAAGTCGGTAACTAATCTGAGTAATGTAATTAAAGTCGGTAAGTAATCTGAGTAATGTAATTAAAGTCAGTAACTAATCTGTGTAATGCAATTAAAGTCGGTAACTAATCTGAGTAATGCAATTAAAGTCAGTAACTAATCTGAGTAATGCAATTAAAGTCGGTAACTAATCTGAGTAATGCAATTAACGTCAGTAACTAATCTGAGTAATGCAATTAAAGTCAGTAACTAATCTGAGTAATGCAATTAAAGTCGGTAACTAATCTGAGTAATGCAATCAACGTCAGTAACTAATCTGAGTAATGCAATCAACGTCAGTAACTAATCTGAGTAATGCAATCAACGTCAGTAACTAATCTGAGTAATGCAATTAAAGTCGGTTACTAATCTGAGTAATGCAATTAAAGTCGGTAACTAATCTGAGTAATGTAATTAAAGTCGGTAACTAATCTGAGTAATGCAATTAAAGTCAGTAACTAATCTGAGTAATGCAATTAAAGTCGGTAACTAATCTGAGTAATGCAATTAAAGTCAGTAACTAATCTGAGTAATGCAATTAAAGTCGGTAACTAATCTGAGTAATGCAATTAAAGTCAGTAACTAATCTGAGTAATGCAATTAAAGTCGGTAACTAATCTGAGTAATGCAATTAAAGTCGGTAACTAATCTGAGTAATGCAATTAAAGTCGGTAACTAATCTGAGTAATGTGATTAAAGTCAGTAACTGATCTGAGTAATGTAATTAAAATTAGTAACTAATCTGAGTAATGTAATTAACGTCAGTAATTGATCCGAGTAATGTAATTAAAGTAAGTCACTCACTCATATGAGCAATGCAATTAAAGTCAGTAACTGATCCGAGTAATGTAATTAAAGTCAGTAACTGATCTGATCAATGTAACTAAAATCAGTAACTCGCCTGAGTACACTACTCAGGCGAGTTACTGATTTTAGTTACATCGAGAAAATAACTCGTCTGAGTCATGTAACTCAAATCTGTATCTTTCACGAGTAGAGTAAATCAAGTCAGTAACTTCTTTTAATAATTTATCTCGATAGAGTCAGTAACCATAGTCATGTACGTCAAGTAACTCATCTGAGTAGTATAACTCAAGTCTGTAACGTCTGTAAATAATGTAACTAAAGTCTGTAACTCCTCATACGTAATACCTGAACCCAATACGTAACCCAATTCTGTCATACTCAAGGTTTTCCAAAAGAAGTAAAAACAAATGTAATTTAAGTCATTGCATAATTGGCTAACGTGTTTCGTGTGACATGAGTATGAACAATATTTATGCTCGTTGACAGGCCATACAATGCGCATGCGTCATGACGTTTATTTAACGAGTTTAATTTATAATATTACCAGTATTCATTCTTCATTGTTGTCGAATATTTTACGTAATAAAAGTATTGGAATAATTTTCAGAATCATGAAATTGTATAGTTTATTATAGACTTTGTATTCATATATAGCTGGTAATATTAATCTATGTATTATTGTATATTTATTTTTATGCCTAGCAAATTAAAAACAAAGTTGAAAATAGAGAACGAGGCGTGGGTAATGTACATTATGCAGATATATGAGTATATACGCAGTAACGTGCTTGCAAAAAAAAATACGTCTATAAAAAATATTTGACTATTTTGGAAATAACAATGGCATAATTTTTTAGAATACTCAAGATACTATTCGCAGATCAACAAACAACACATGTTATCGTTCATCATTTATGGCTTGGGGATAGTCATCATACTGATGTAAAAAACGAAGTCACGCGACACTTGGCCCGGGGTGCCGTAAAATATAAACACTTGTTATACACATCCATTATTTATTCCACGTGCCGATAACATTTAATTGATAGGTACTGACAGGTGGAGACGAGTTTTACATGTAAGTATTTGTCTAGATACATCACAGTCCCTCTATCACCGGTCTGGAAACGCTTAGTATTCTATTGTACCATAGACCTTAGAAAGAGATTTCTAAGGTCTATGATTGTACTAACCCTCGTAACGGGCAAATAAATCGTTGACACCTTACGCCAAGTTATCCCGAAAATAAACTCCCATTGATGTAGTCGTGCATATCATTAACCCACTGGAAGTTACCATGATACTTAGCGATTTGGGTCATTGCGCATGCGTCATTACCAGCACACGAATCACAACATTACCATGTGGAAGGCTTACGACGATTTTGTCGAATTCGACGATGACAACATTGATTGGGATTTTGTTTTAAAAGACGTCATTGAGGAAGAAATCCATGAAGTGCATAAAGATAAACCATGTAGTTCAACCAGTGCCGAAAACATACCGGAGAAACTTTTACGAGGCATGATTGCCACGCCCACACGCCTGTCAAAACTCCACAACTGCTATCTGAATGTAAACAAAATTTGTCCATGAAATTAAACTCTTTATTACATCCCAAACAGAATTAAACCACCCCATTAGTTTCAGAAGTAGTTTCTTTAATCACCAAATAAAAATGGAATTGGAGAATCACCCCATGATAGAGGGACTGTGGATACATGTACCGGTACGTTATTGCTGTACTTTGTTTATTTGCATTCTGGAATACAGTAGGTTCGGGGGTTTCTTACGAAGTTCAGACATAATCTAAAGTGTCCGGGAGAGGTCGTCATCTGTTGTAAATGCTTATTGCCGGCCCGGCGGTGGCACTCATGCGGTATATGGGTACCCATGCTTGTTCCCCATTTTCAAACACTAGCCCTTTTCTCTGATAATTTCTCATAAAATACCACCTATTTATACTAAATCTGGGAGAAATTTAAAGTATAAACACACCCTTTTTTCCAAAATCTGGGAGCTTGTATTTATTTACCTAACACTATGTGTGCACATTTTAGGAGTCATAAAGAATAACTTTTCTTATCCTTCTGAACTGTGCTGTAATTTACTATCATCCCTCCCGATTACGAAGTTCACGCTGTTTAATATACCGTGACATTCTTCTTAGTACGTTCGCCGGGTACGTACGCATTGCGTTGCCGGGGATCGTTGAACGCTACATTTCCCCCCATTATTTTTTTTTTAAATGTACCCCCTTTTTACGATTTCACGGACCGTGGTATTCAACAAAAATAACCCCCTTTCTCCGAGAATATAGGAACGCTGATGCGTACCATTTTTGTTCTGGAAGTGCCACCACCGGGATTACCGGCAGTATCCTGAGTGTTATTGTTGGATAAACTAGGAGGTATATTACCCCTACTACCAATGAGTCTCACGATCGTGGAACAAATTCATTTGAATGAAATGACTTGCAACTTAAATGGGGTGCATACATTACACAAATGACCAGCAGCGGTATGCAGCATATCTGTAGATACGTATCATTTATCGAGTCAATTAATATGTCCCATCATGCCATATCAGTGTACATTGAAGACTATTGTTGTAAACATTGCACATACTGAATAGTCTGACCAACCATCTGACTATCTGAAATACACTTATAATCACGAAATTACGTTTATATTGTTTTATTTATTTCTGTTTGAAACACCGACTCATTCTGACAAAAAGAAGGTTTACAAGAAAACGTGGTAATTGTAATTTGAAAGAATACAATTATGTTACTATTACACTATATTTAACAAATCTCTTCTACACAGGAGTGTTCTGTGACTACATGTATGACCTACGCCCCCAGCGACGGTAAATCACCGTGCATCGAAAGAGGGCGCAATTGAGGTGGCATCCTCACATCCGTAGAATACTTGTACTCGATAGACCGATTAATATAAATTATATAATAGTATATAATATAATATAATTATTATAAACATTTTTCCATTGAAGATTTAAGACTTTCTCTGAAAAATCTTACAGAAATAATAATAATTTATATACAAAAAACACAGGCCAAGAGCATTTTAATTTAGTGTTTATATTCACAGTCCCTCTATGATAGCGCCTGGGACTGTGTTATAGTAATATTTTACTAACCCAAGTGCAGTTCGGTTTTCGAAAGCAACAGATGCTACCTTTCTATTGAAGATAGCAAATTGATAAGTCACTTTACAGTCAGAGTGCACATGTAGAAAACAATCCAAAACGCTTGTACAGTTGTTTCATTCACCGTTCCTCAACACCGGTGTTGAGGGAGGGTGTTCCATTGAATTCAGAAAAGCGTTTGACCTTGTTTGGAGAGATGCCCTATTTCTAAAATTACAAAATTTAGGTATAAATAGTAATTTCTGAGAAATTATCAAGTCAATGTACACAATATAAGGTAAAGTTGGCAGAAGGAATAACTGAGGGGTTTTCAACAACATGCGGAGTTGAACAGGGCTGCAATCTGTCACCAGCCCAGTTCAAATATTTCTGTATGATTGGCCAGAATTGTTTGGGGAAAACACTGATAAACCTGTTGGCGACATACCACAAAACTGAGTCGTCTATGCAGATGACCTTGTATTGTTGTCAGAAACTTAAGTAGGTTACAAAACTGCTTGAACTTGAACAAACTGTCAAATTACTGTAACCAATGGAAACTTTTAGTAAACATAAACAAAACAAAAGTAATGGCTTTCAACAGTGGTAACAAATGATAACAAAATCTTAAATTCACACTAGATAAAAAAAAAACATAACAGCAGTAACAGAATTTTGCTACTTGGGTATAATGATACACCTAATGGGAAGTTTAAATTAGCACAATCAATGTTAAATAAAAAAAAATTGAAGGCGTTATTTAATGTCCGACATTCAATACTGAATCATAAAATTACATCAACTTCATTATGCTTGAAACTATTTGACCAGTTAATAACACCAATCATAATGTATGGTGCTGAAATTTGGGCTGACGAGATATCAAATGACAACACTATTTTAGAGCAAGTAGGTAGTCAGTTTTACCGCTTCATACTTGGTGTCACGGTAAACTGACACCAACTATTTGTGTAAGAGCAGAGTTAGGTAGATTTCCAATTAGAATAAAAACACCTCTAGCAAAAATTCAATATTGGTATAGACTCAGCATGCTTGCTGACATTAATATGCTAAAATGCGCTTTAAATGAAAACAAGGAAATTAAATCAAAGTGGATAAAACATATTGACAATATTATTGGCCACGAGGAACTGTGTGAAGCAAAAGAACAACACAATGTAGATAATATTAGCCAGTTATCAAACATCATGAAGGTGAAATTAAGAGACCAATACAAACAGTCTTGGAAGGAGCAGCTAAAATCGTCCACTAGTAGTAAAGACAAAATTGAAGGCAGTAAACTTAAGACATAAAAACAATTTAAAATAAACTATGAATTTGAAAATTACCTAAATGAAATAAAAAACATTAGCTTAATATGTAGAATGTAATCAAAATTCTGCTTTAGTGATCGCATTTTGGAAATTGAACTGGGGGGAAGAAGAAAACTAAAACTATCAGCAGCAGAAAGAGTCTGTAAAAATGTGATCAGGGCGATATTGAGGATAAAAAGTATTTTTTTTTTTTTGAGCTGCTCATATTTTGAAAATGGAAGAAAAATCTAACCGAAAACAGCAAAATTACCTCTACTGAAGCACAGTCCCTCCATGATAGAGAGACTGTGACTGAAGAGAACAAAGACGTAAAGTTCTTTCACTATATCTAAAAAATACCACACACAAAGCATCACCTGTGTTAACCATTGGGTAAGAAGAACCTTTACTTTGATGTATTTACTGTATTTTTATTACTTTTTGATTTATTTGTAGTTATTAGACCTTTTAAATTTGTAGTTATTTTTAGTTGTATTTCTTTTATTTTATTTTACACTATTTTTACCTTACTGTATCCTTACTCGCTACCACGAACCACATACTGTTACATGTACTAGTAATGCACTAATAAACCACGGTTACTGACAAATTACCGTGAATACACATAACAATGTGAATATTGGGATGATCATTAAATCTTTGTGGGGGCGACGGCAGAATGCACCATGATAAGCACAAAACTAATGTGAAAGAAAATTGCCAGATCTTTATACCGGAAGTCGGTCACTGTGGTTGTTCAAACTAAAAATAATTTGGACAGAAAATATGCTGGGAAAAAATTACAGCAAATTCATGGAAACAAAAAATTTGCACAAAACAGCCATCGTCCTGCCAGAGATGCTTATGGTACATCCCTTAGTGATTTGTTTTCAAACGTGGCTGCAGAGTTGTTATCACTTGAAAGCATGACTTTTTCCCGCCACCGTCACGCGCATGCGTGTTACGTCCGATAGCCTTCCTTCACAATCAGGCATCCATTTTGTGGCGTTACTTCTCGAAAAAGTGAACTGTCTAGGCAGGTAACTGTACAGAGCCAGTTAATCTCGCAATGGCCCACAACTATATTGTCACGGCACACAAGCCGACCGCAGTGAATGCTTGCGTCACTGGTAAGTGTAAATTTTAAATGAAAGCTTAGAATTCGTGATGTTAACCTTTGTAAACATTGGGGCTGAATGGCCACTGATATTTGTTGCGTGCAGACTAGACATTCTCGTTTACGAATTCACGTGTAATGAATACACGATGGATTGCCACGGGTTGACATCCATCATATAATGGACAATCAAGTTACTGGCGTTCGTCGTGGCGCTGTTTTCATGTATTTTATGGGTCATGTTTTTTCTTACGTCATCAGTGGTCGAAATAGTGTCTGGTTCAGTGATTGGGTATCATTACAGGTTTGAATTAAAGTCCATCGTTTCGTGATTTACTGCCGGTGCAAACGTGATTCGTACGAGTAACTTCCCTTAGTCCTTAACAATCTAACAATAACCCCATCAACTTCTCCCCCGGATGGTTGAAGTGACTGTAAACAAGATAGTATGGGTAATTTACAACTTCTTTCGTACTGTAAAATGGTTAATTATTCACTGGGTTTTAATTTGGCTTATTTCGCTGACTGGAAAATGCGCTAAATTAAAACCCAGTGAATATGTAAAATTTACATAAAACACATTATCTAAATGATAAAACCGTGAATTTAAAACCCACTGAATATGCCTGAAATGGTAAATCAGTGAA